CCCCGCAGCCCCCAGCCGTGCCCTCCGGCCCACCCATGGCCCCCCCCAGCCCCAGCAGCAGCGCCAACCACAGCAGCAGCAACAGCAGCACGGCGGGCTGGGATCAGCTGAGCAAGACCAATCTGTACATCCGGGGTTTGCCCCCCGCAACCACCGACCACGACCTGGTCAAGCTCTGCCAGCCGTGAGTAACCAGCGATCCCTCTGACCACTGCGTAGCATAGGAAGCGCATAGCCCACCTAATAACTATATTACGGCCGTGATGTTAGGGGGCAGCCATTTTTAACCTGAGACCGAGTGCGAAGCAGAGTTAGCGTGTCGTCTAACGAACAGGAGATATTTTATACGTACAGAGCACACAGAAAGTCCTGGGATGCTTGCTTAATTAAGTAAAAGCATCGCCAATTTATTAGTTTTATAAGAAAAATCATTACTTCATTCGTTTACAAATAGTATTAGGAACAACCGGAAGTTATAAAGTAAAATATTCAGGTACTAATAAATTTTAGTTCTAAAGGAGCTGTTCTGATTTAAAAAGCGCATTGACAAGCAGTTTCACTGGGTGCTTTTTAATTAGTAACACTTTTGCAACAACATAAAATGCCAAACATTTGTGTTTAGTATCCCTTTGGGAGCCAGTGACTACAATTGCAATTAATAGCAAAATGGCAAAAACAGAATTGAATGAGTCAAAAAATTATGTCAATAAAAAGAAAAGATATGAGCAGATATGTTAAACATTGCTTGTCAATGGACATTTGCTATGAGACCAATTTTGAACACTTAAGCAAGCATCCAACACTTAAGACTTTCTGTGAGCGCACAGGACTCCCTCCCCTCCCCCCCCCAATATCACCCTGAAGAGATTAGTTGGGGTGGTGGGGGGGGGATGTATTTCTTATTCAGATTTGTTTCCATCAAAAAGTCCTTCAGAAAAATGTGAGTGAAGGGGCCATTTTAATTTGCAATATTAATTTAAATCAGATTTTTGTAAATTTAATTATATACAATATGTGATTTAATATGTAATTTAATTAAATGAGTTAAAGTAATTATATTAATGCAGCAGCTGGTATTCCGGTATATTGCCATGTAACCTGGCTGTGAGAGACCTTTTGTGCTGTATCATAACTAATCTGTGGTCATGCATGTATGTTGGATTTAAACAGTTTAGAGCACAGCTGGATGCCTATAGAAGCCCAGTTTTGTGTGTTAATCCGTATTCTGTCCTCTGCACTAAAAACTAAAAGCAGTATTGGTGGGGGGGGGGGCTGGGTGTTACAGTGACGGACCACAGCATGGTGGGTCAGGCAGGGGAGTCACAGAGGGCGGTCGGTTTTAATTTGTGGGGAGAAATGACACGGCAGCCTGGGGGGGGGGGCATGGGGAGCGGTTCCAGCTGACAGAATGGCGGGCAGAATTGTTGTGTTTCGCTGAGCTACGGTGACCTTAGAACCTCCATGCCCCCAGCTCCCCATCACTCCTCACTGCGGCGTCTCGCTTGTTGCCGTGGGAAACGTCTGTGAGTGAGATTCCGGTCTCTGGGGACGCCCTAAGGCAACCTTTAAGAGTGGGGATTAATGCTAGGTGGCGGTGTTTGGGGTCAGCTGGTGCCCCCCTCCCCTCCCCAGCCTGTGTCCACGGCTCCCAGCTAATCCATGTCCAGATACTTGAAAGGTTTGACCTCTGACCTCTCCCTGCCAGCCCACTCGCTGTTGTCATTACTGGCGATTAGACGGGTCGACTCTGAGGTATGTGCTAATCAAGATGTTTTTAAAGACCCTTCTCGGCAGCTTAAAACTGCAGTGCTGCAGTTAAGCTTGCGCTGTGCACTATGCGAGGAATGGCAGCGCTGCGGGACCGCCCATGTGGCCACTGCATTGGTGCGTGTGTCCCGCTGGGCCCCACCCCCAGCCATGACTGTCGGCACATCTTCACGCCGGGAATTTTGCCTGCATGCCCGCTCTTTCCCCTGAAGCATGCCGTGAGTGTGTCATGTGGACGGCGTGCGTGTGCCTGGGTGTTTTGTATTGAAACCTTACACAGTGGTGATGTCTGTGTGGGGTTCGGTCGCAGGACGCTCCAGTTCTGCATCTCCCCGCCTTCTCGGGAGCTTGGAGCAGTGCATGCCTGTCTCTGCAGTGAACCGCAGTGTGGGTGAAGGACACCTTTCCACCACTGGTGTCTGTGTGCGTCTTTCTACTCGACTGTGAGATGCATGGTAACTGGAGTCTCAGGGGAACAGAACAACCAGCCAGACCATCCAGCTGAGGGTTCGCCCGTCGCGCTGTCATGGGAAATGGGAAGAGGCTATAACAGCAGTTGATGTCCCCCCCGATTAAGCCCCACTGCTTAACAAACGCTCTGTCCGCGCGGCATGGAGCCAGTGTGCCTTTAGTCGTGGCCCTGCCTCTCCCCAGGTCACCCCCCCTGCCCATTTACTCACCTCCTGAAGGAATACTAACCAGCCACTACATTCTGCCCCGTGATGGCATTGCCACGACAGCGATTCGCTCGCTGCGTCGACTGTCACATCGTGTCCCGTTCTCCTTGCAAAATCCTCACTTCATTTCTTAATCTTTTCGACACTCAGTTTATCGTAAATTCATAAAGCTTGTAGAAATGCAGATCATGCTGTCCAGCCGTTTTCCATAACCGCTTAATCGGATGCGGGATTGCAGTGGCTGGGACAGGAAGTGAACGCCCGACCCTGGAGCCGTGAGACCACTGTGCTGCCCCTTACAGAATATAATTAGTGATTAATATTAATAAAGATGGATAACCAGCTGAGTCGGCACCCTGGAAATGAAAACCTGCTGTTATCCTGCATCTCTACGTAACAGTTGCTTCATTACGTGGTGTTTTTTGCAATTATCTGCAATCCGCTCTCTGGGATGTACCCACAAATTATCATTTTTTCCATTTCTGTGAGAGGGCTTGTTGTTTAATGGCACCGTCGTTATTCTTATCTGATTAATATAACACAGGGTATGACTGTGCCCCCAGATACAGTCCTCGTGATTCATTCGCAGCGGTAGGATGACTGCAGAAGCACACGGTTCTGCTGGGGTTCTGCTCGCAGGCAGATTTACGTGCGTGTTTCCGCTCGGGGATGGCTCTCTCTGATTCGTGACGAGGCACAGAGGACGGGCTGACAGCCCTGATCCTGACCAGCTGTAGGGGTTAAAACAGCAGGTCACGCAGCTGCCTGTGCACGCTTGCTTGCGTGAACCGCGCTCATGTTGCATTTGGCATCTTTGGGTCAAGGTTCATTCACGTGTACGCTGCCCGATCGCTTCCTGGAAAGGGTCAAAGGTCAGCATTTTCTCTGAAAGGAACTCTCCTCTGTTTTCAGTCGGCTTCTGGGGCCTGTGTCGTCCTTCCCGGCTTCCACTGGGTCTTACAGTTCCGGCAGGCATGTTTCCGGATGCTGGGAAAAGCCCTTGCCCGTCTCCTCGTTTTTGTGATGCATCTTGCACCCAGATTTCTTCTCTGTTATCCTAACTTCCCGCAGCTGAGTGCTGGGTTGCATTTCCTCTCCGGTGGAGGAGACTGCTTGTTCCCTTCGCATTTTTGACCACTAACCAGCGCAGTGCAGTATAAATTCCCACGTTCCTGCGAGGCGACGGCAGCTAGCCACGGCGCTAAACGGAGGCACTGCGCCGGAGGGCTCATTTGCGGGATGTTCTGCTCTTCTCTGGCATGCTGGAAGGGCCGTCCTTCGGTCTTGGGATTTTATGATGTTATTTCATTGCATCTGCTCCAGTTTCCAGCTTGAGTGCAATGCAAATTCCTCAATCCAGATGAGCAAACCAAAGTCCTCAAGCAGAGGTATGCTGTGGTGTGCATAGTGACTGAGGGGATTTATCCTCATGAGTTAAAGGCTGCTGTTTTACATCCCTTGAGTGGGGCGGGGGGGGCACCCTTCAGTCAGTCGTAAGCATTTGCTTCAGTAAAAATCCCTTTCTCTAAAATAAGTCATTGGTCATTCTGCTGATCGTTGACATTTCCACTGGCCTTCCCAGAATCATCAGCATGTCACCTGTATGAAGACAGGCTCCTCCTCCTTAACTTTTGACCCGTGGCATTTACTGGGTGGCCCAGATGGAAGGTGCGCCACCAAAGTGCATTGACAGTCTTTGTGGTTGAAATGGGGGGGGGGGTTCCCAGGGACGAAAGGCTTTTGGTTAGCGATTTGGGCTGCCGGCTTCATTCGACACTCGTGCAGCCTCTCCCAGATCTCCATGCCGCACTTTTTTAGGGTGATGTTGCCACTAGCAGCAGAGACGCTGCTCTCCGCTGGTCTGTGCTTGAACTCGGCCAACGATACAATTCTCTGTTCGCAGGTACGGGAAGATCGTTTCGACAAAGGCCATCCTTGACAAGACGACGAACAAATGCAAAGGTATGTATCCCTGATTGCTTGGATTTCACCTCATCATAAGGTGTGTGTGTGTGGGGGGAGGGGGGGCGGTCTCCAGGCTGTGTTGTTCATTCGCTTCCGACTACCTTTGATCCTGGGTACCAATTCCTGTAAAGAATGTCTTGCAGATCTGCCTGGATAGTCGGCAGTCATAGTGTAGTATCATGTAGTTCAGTCAGATGTGGGGAATGGCTTATTTGAGTGCGTGATCAGGGTTCTTCAGCCCTGCTTTGTGTATCTCTCTGCTTATGGCAATAATTTCATTTCACTCAAGTGACATGCTCCTTCCAACATGAGGCAGTAAAGACAGCCCGGGGTGAAATCGGCGTGGTCTGGATACAATACTCCACATCTTCCTTATGACCCTAGTGACACTTTGCAGGGGGGCGTGTATAGTACACCCTACCATGAAAGGTTGTGAGCTGCCTTCACGTTTACCATGATTTCGTTGTACTCATTTAATTTTATTCACTTCCAATGCAGAAGTCACAATAAAGAAGTGATTAAACAGCATAGTGTACTGAGCAACCAGTACGCTAAGTAGAGCAGGTCCCAACGGTCACATTTTCGCTACCTGGAGCTGGGAGACAACAGAAACGTGGACTGGCCCTGGGTCCCTGAGGACCGGGTTGGGAAACGGCTTTAGGAAGCTCTGTGTGTGGAAGTCCAGCCTTGAGCTGTCTCTGGTAACCACACAGTCATGCTGAGGTCTTTACTGTGCCCTACAGCACCCGGCCACCATCCCGTGTGTGAATGAGCGTTTTATCGCCAGAGTCCAAATAAGCCGCTCCGGCGTCTTGGAACCCATCGTTCACCTGGGAGTTAGTTCCTGGGCTCCGTGTAGAGCAGGAGGTCAACGGGGGTCAAACGGGCGGCGGCAGCACCCAGGGCCCCGGGAACAGCCTGATAGTGACATCACAGCTCGTTTTCATTAGTTTTATTAGTAATATGTAGCTAGTTAAAAAGTTAGGATTTTTAATGCATTATTGTGCGTTCAAGTCACATTAATGACCCGCATAGTTACACATCGTTGATAATCAGTTGCACGGGCAGATTTTTAGCTCGTTTTACCTGGTCGCCCGCAGTGGGCCGTCTGGGACCTGAGGCTTAGGCCTGTGTCTTTACCTCTCTACACTCCTGCTCTGGGGGAGTCCTTAGCGGCTCTCTCGGTAGTTCGGTCACGGCCCCGCTGACCGTTAATGCTGTTCCGAATGCACACCGGCCGTCTCACTCCCTGCCCGCCTTCTCCCCTAGGCTACGGCTTTGTGGATTTCGATAGCCCCTCCGCCGCCCAGAAAGCCGTCGCTGCCTTGAAGACCACCGGTGTCCAGGTGCAGATGGCGAAGGTGAGGGTATGGCTCCATCCGGCCGTGCATGCTGCAGCCACCACCACCAGTCTGGGGGGGTCACATCAGCACAACCACTCGCATCATCCCCCACAATCCCCCTCCCTCATGTCCTGGGCCTCATGCCTCCATCACATCTTCAACCCTAGGTCAGCCCCCCCCCCCCATTAGAATACAGTGACTGAATATGATTCACTGTAATGCTTGGGGGGGGGGGGGGGGTGAGATTTGTGGTTAATAAATGCACATTGGGGATTTTGGAGTGGGGGGGCATGTCAAAGACCGTCTTCCATTGCATCGCACTCTTCTGCGCAATAGGGCGACTTGAAGCTATGATTTGGTCTAGTGGCGCTTTCCCACGGCCACCATGAACCAAGCCGAACTGCAAAGTGACTGTTTTCCATTATAAAGTATGCGAGTCGTACCTGAGCCGTGGCCACAGTGACACGGCCCTGCCGTTAACCTAGCTGGCCGCGTCACCACCATCATTGGTTCAAATGCTCAGAGATACCGGTGTTCTGCATCGATATGCACAGATTATCTGAAGGAAAAATGGGGCATATTCTATATATTATTCATTGTTAGTAGTATTGCGCATCGCGATGCATTCTCAATTTACTTCCAACCGCCTTATAGTACTTATAGAACAGCTGAACAGAATGGATTCGTCATGCAAATTTACACGAGCGAATGCTAATTCCGCTACCGTTTGGTGCTGACATAACACAGCGACTCTCACAGATGTGCTAGTGGGAATTAGCCAACAGGTATACGCTGTGTGAACAGTAAATAAGCGCCAAACGCCTTTACCAAGCCGACCTTTCTGCAGTGGAAAACCGAAGCGAGCTGAAACCACACTGTAACCGGGCTGTGGCTAGTCTCTCTTCGCGGTACAGGCCAGGTACAGCCTGGTTCCTGTATGCCAGTGGAAAAGCTCCATAATGTTGGCTCTCATTTTCACCCTAAACTTCTTCAGGTAGTCTGTAGCTCGCGGGGCTAGGGGTATGTGCCTACGTCCAGTAGGTCTACTTAAATTTTACAACCATGGCTGATATGACCCTCTCTACTATGTACCCATCAGGAAGGGGAGGGGGGGCTACAAACCAAAGGAAACCATGTGGGAAGGGGTGGGTTGGAGTGCTGACAGGAACAGGCAGGAGACATCGGGGAGGGGGGGGGGCATCATCCGTGGCTCATCTAGGGATCCACAGCCAGCAGCTTCATGGGCGTCAAGCTGACATCGGCCTGTCCGTCACTGCACCCGCCAATGGGACGTGGACCTGAGCTCCTCTTGGCTTACAGGCTCCACCTTCACCGAAGCGAGACATGCCCCAAATTGAGGCGGCTGTAGAGCCAAGAGCGGTCATCGGTCGTCGGTCGTCATTTAACCGCGGTCCCACTGAACTCAAGTCCTTCGTTCTCGTGCCCATGTGAGCTCAGTGTGGATGAGTCCCTTGAAGCACGCGAGGGAGAGTGGCAGCGGACTCCGCGTCTCGTAGTCCATCACGGCTGGGGGCCCGGGGGGGACTGGGGCTCCATGGTGACTCGGGGGGAACAAACAGCGTTACTCTCCCAGACGTAGGAAATGGGAAGCGCGGTAATTGGAGGTTGTCACAGCAACCAGCTCCGTAAGCTGGGAAAGCAGAGCCCGTAAATCCGGGCAAGAATACGGGAATCTAATTCCCCACCAATCTCGGAATGCTAATGCCATCTTTGCTAAATTCCTCCGCCCTCGTTTCATTTTTAATTAAGATAAAACAGTTCTGGTGGGCTTGGCCGACTCTAATCCAGGTATTGTTCACCGTAAAGGCTATTAAAAATCTCAGGCCTTTCCGTTGACTTTTTTTTTTATTACAGAGACTTAGTGGGAGTTAATGGACTGGCTGACAAAGGCCTTTTCAAGCACGCTTGTCTTTTCCAACAGAGGTATTCAAATACAGAGTCATTATTTAAATGGCGCCGGATGGAGAGGGGGTTGCGAATAGGGTGTAGCTGTAACGAGTTTCCTCCCAATTACGGAGGGGGTCCCGATTGCTCCCACTTTTCGTCCATTGCTGATTGAAGCACTTCACCCTGTTTACTGCCTCGGCTGTCAGTTCGAGATGCAGCAGCACCAGCGTAAGCTGGCGAAAATGACTCTGCTTTCTTCAGAGGCCCGTCATGTAGGAGTGCCTGTTTTCCGGCGTCTGCACCAAACGCCGTCCGTCCCGGCCTCGGGGTGTCCACTTCACCGCACAGTCCTGAAAGTAGGCGGCCAGCCTGCTGACCCGTGTCCAAACCGGCCAGAACCCCTTCCTCCAGCCCGTTGTTTTCGTAGAGCAGTTCAGCGTGGCCTCTTCGCCGAAGCGGTCACCTTCGACTCGTGTCAGTGTCACTACTCCCCCCTCCGGCCCCTCCCACTACCACCACCACCACCTGCGGTGACACATCTCCAAGCGGCTGGTGAATGACGCATGATATGCTCGGAAGGGTGTCACATCCAGACCGGTAGGAGGCGGACTCTGTGCTCTGCCCAGAAAAGGAGCCGTCCTGCAGGCTCACCCCAGAGAATTCTCCGGAATGTGCCTCCTAGCCTATGCCTCTGAGCCCCCCCCCCCGTCCCCCCGTTCTACCTGTTAGTCCTTTTCCATCACCAGCCTGTCCAATTCAAGTAATTAACTACACATCAAAACGATTAACTACTCATCGCACTCTTTATTGGTTGACCCAGGTGTGCTTCGGGGTGGTTCACCTGCCACATCTGCACGCAGCGATGTTACACAGCCGCTGCTCTGATCTTTCTGAGCAGGGAGATGTGACCTTTCGGGCCACAGATCATGATATGCGGACTGCGTTTTTTAAGAATCTCTTATATAAAGTACCAAATGTCTTGACTGAAAATATTATTATCCGTTTAAGAAGTTGGATTTTATTTCGCTTTTGTAAACACAGGCTCTACAGAGCAGTGCTCTGAATCGCATCTCTGCTCCTGCCTGTGATATTTATTTCTGCATTGGCTTTTTGGGAAGGTGTTTTGTGAGCAGAACGGTATCTGTTTGGCATAGCCTGATGTCTCAAGGTGAGCCAAGACGGTTGACAGTCTGCTGTTCGCCACTAGAGCTTATAATAATAATGGTGATGATGACGATAAAAACACGGAAACATGAGGGTCGAAGTGGTGGATCTTCTCAGCCTAAATACAGTGTAACTGGACGATCCGCTGAGTTGAGGGTGATAAGGCTGCTAAATGCTGCTCTTTATTCCATTTGTAACACGATCCCACTGAAGTGACTAATTGCGTATCGATATACTGGGAGGACGGGGTGGAGCACGTGAAAGCATGTGACAGAGACGCAGCGCTCTTTAGCAAGGCTGTCAATCAGTCGCTCTCCCTGAGCAGGCCGCAGTCACATGACCTTTAATGACAGGCTGATTGGCTGGTGACACTGAACACGGCAGAAACAGATGTCTTGGTTTCTTGCCAGTCATCTGTCCACAGCCCACGGAGGCAGACAGGCGGTACAGTTGTTTGCCTGTCTAAAATCTTTGAGTTGAAGACTGTCTCGCTTCAGATACGAGCTGAAACAGCCTCTTTTAAAATGCATTTTTACCCATAATTCAGTGTGGCTCCAGGTGCTGAAAGCCCTTCCTGTAGCCCCACTGTTAAGCAAACAGCAGCATTATTTTTCTCGGTGGTTATAAACACAGTACTGGTGACGGTTTAAGGGTGAAGCTATCAACAGTATATCAAAAACCGAGGCCGTATGAACCAGCACACCACCTCAAAGTGTTATGTAAGGGTGACTGTCTGCCTATGTCGTTTGATGCCCACGGCCCAGAAATGGCTCACACACAGAGACGGGAGGCCAGTCATGACACGGCCAATCAGAGCAGAGCAGAGGAAGAGTGCAATTGGGAAATGCGCATGCAGGAACATGAACGGTGTGGGGGCACTGAATGGTTCCCAGGGACCATGGACCTTTTAGAGCCGCAAGCTGAGAAGCAATTTTACCCCCCCGAAGCTGAAGAGATGCTCGCATTGGTTAAACAAACCTCCCCTTCCCACTTTGCCAAACGCTGATTGCAGCCTCTCCCAGCTGGTTGTCCAGTGCGCGTAGATTTTTTATTTGGTGTTATTTATTTATTTTAAAATCCCCGTCAGCGGTTTGCCCTGGTAATCCAATCCGGGCCCGCGCAGGGCGAGAAGACGGCAGCTCGCTGATGAATATTAATGCGGCGGCGCCGACCGCGGGGAGGTGGTGGCGTGGCGGTTATGCTGACGCGGGCAGAAGGAGAGCCGGTGTGGGCTGGAGCAGGCTGCAGGCAGCATGCTGATCGCCGGCTGGCCGTGACCCGACCCTGCCATGGGAGGGGGCCCCACACAGCCCACGGGGGCCAAGAGGAGGTGTGTTGTATTGAAGATGTTTGTCGTCCCCACCGCCACCCCACCCGGAAGCGTTGTCGGCCGCCCTGTAATCTGTCCGTCCCGGGTAACTCTGGGACCGGTAGTGATCCGCACGGCTTACTGGAACGCTCAGCGGGTCCCCAGTCACGTCCGGGATCGTCTGTCTTACTTCAGAAACGCGATCCGGCTCCTTAAAATGCGCGCTGGTTACCGAGAATTCGGCGGCGCTCTCCCTAACGGCCCTCTAGCGCAGTGAGAAGGGCAGCTGCGTAGTGGGTGACTCTGTGTTTTCTGTTTGTGAGAACGCAGACAGCCGATGGATTTAGGAGCGACCAACAGGCCCGGTTCCCCTGGGGGCAGGGGGGGAGAGGGGGCTGACCAGCCCACCCCAAGGATAAGGAAATGCCAGCCGGTGTTTTTTTTTTATTCTAAAGCAAGGCAAAATGTTTCTTTAAGACAGACACTTTGAACTCTTACACTCAACACCCACCGACCCCTCCCAGAGAATTCCACACTGCATGTGTAATTATGGGTTATCCTGGAGAATGCTTTGATTTTGCTCTGGGCTGAGAGCCTTTCTGTAAATGAACATGATCTCTGTGCAGTTTTCAGTTTAAGGTCCCAGCCTCTCTCTCTCCCCCCAGCAACAAGAGCAGGACCCGACGAACCTGTACATCTCCAACCTGCCCCTGTCCATGGACGAGCAGGAGCTGGAGAGCATGCTGAAGCCCTTCGGACAGGTCATCTCCACGCGGATCCTCAGGGACTCCAACGGAGCTAGCCGGGGGGTGGGCTTCGCCAGGTGAGGGTGCCGCACCTGATCCTGGATCAGCTCTCCATTTCAAAGGAGGGTTGCTTTGATGCACCAACCACTGAACTGGAATTGGTCTTGTTAGCCACTGCTGTGCCGACATTGTTCCTGTGTGGAGGATTCTGTGCGTTCTGAAGTGTTATGGTAACATTTCCCCTTGGGATAAATTAAATACTATCTTATCTTATGATACCGCATAGATATGCCCCTGCCCATTTTAGCACCTGATGCAATAGATAGAATGATGGTCCCTTCAATTTACCATTGTTCATGGTCTGTAAGATTCTCTTGACATGTTATTGGTTAATTACGAAACCTTTGGCCCCTCCCCTGGAGACCGTCGTCGTTGATTCCGTTCCGCGGTGGTCCCAGCCCAGAACACCTGCATTCCGGCTCACCCAGGCGAGCCACTTGGCCAATTAACCAGAAAACCGGACTCATGGCTCCGCCCACCCCACCCCTTCCCTGCCAAGCCGTGACTTGCGTATCTTTTCAGAGCGCACGGTTAACCCGAGTTGCACCGGAACCGTTAAGGCATCACACAGACTTGCCACTGCTCCTAGGAGGATATTCTTGTGATAGTCATTGGGACTTTCTGTAGGACCCATAAGCCAAGTGCAGTCTCTAAGCTAATGGCTATCATCGGCGCAGGACAGTCGTGTGAATTATCACAGCATGTCACCCACCTGTGCACATGTGTCTTTCAGGATGGAGTCGACGGAGAAGTGTGACGCCGTGATCTCGCACTTCAACGGGAAGTTCATCAAGCTGCCGCAGGGAGGTCTGGGTAAGCTCCCGTCACATTGGCAAGCGAGCGCGAGAGGCCGCACATTCTCTGCCAGTTTCGTGCCCCCCTCCTCACGCACACACCATGTTTTGAGGAACCCAAACCCTATGTGATGCTATCAAGCGAGACAAAGTAATTCTCCATATATCGGGCCCCTTGGGTTGTCTTCAGACACCTTAGCTGATATTCGTCTGAACATCGGCGGTGGTCTTCAGCTCTCCTGAGAGGTGGTGGTGACAGGTGATTCATAGCTCCCTCTGTTGGCTAAAAAAAAACAGTTCTTTCTGAAGACTGATGAGGAAGCTGCATTTTGGCAGGCCTGTCCCACAGAAACGTCGCTGCCAAATAAATTGTAGCGGCCGGCCCAGTGTCACAGTGTCATCCATAGACGTCCGCGATTCTGCTGGTTGCGTGGGTGATGCAGGCCTTCAGGGCTGTCCGTGAGGGTGGGGTCCTCATCCCGCTGTCTCCTGCAGCTCCCTCGGAGCCTCTGCTCTGCAAATTCGCCGACGGCGGACAGAAGAAACGCCAGAGCCAGAGCAAGTACGTGCCGAACGGTCGTCCCTGGCTGCGGGACGAGGTGAGGCTTGTGAGTACCGCCTTCGCATTTCTGGTTTAGGGTCTGATTTAGGGTCGCAGAGGCTGCAGAATCAGGTCTCTGCATGTTTGGGGGTGGGGGGGCTTGTGGGAAACCTTGGTGTGACCATTTCTTTGTTGGGCCCCACCCGCCAGGCTGGGATGACCCTCACCTATGACCCCACCACCGTCGCCCTGCAGAACGGGTAAGGGGGCTCGGGCCAAGAGGGTGTTCCTCTGCTGTAAACGTGGTGGCCTGCTGACCAAACCCTCTCTTTGTCTCTGCCATCTTCAGGTTTTACCCGTCACCGTACAGTATTGCGAACCGGATGATGCAGACGTCCATGACCCCGTACATCTCGCCCATCTCTACCTATCAGGTGGCCGTCTATCCCGTCGCATGGCCCCTGCGGGGGGCCTCCTGGGTAAATGCAGACTTGCTGTCCCACACCGTACTCCCGGTCCGCTCACGCAGGCATGTCCGTCCTCTTCCAGTTGCCGAGCCCTTCCTGGGTGTCCCACCAGCCCTACATCATGCAGCACCCGGTAAGAGCAGAGCAGCCTCATCTTCTGTCTTCCTCAGTCCTCTTTGTCGTCTTCCTCCCATCGTTTTGTTCTCATTTCCCGTACCGTCAGCCCCTTCCCCCTGCAATCACAGGGGGGCCTTGAAGCCCCCTCCCCCCCAGCAATTCCCACTTTCCTTTCGTACCATCTGCACATCTAATTCTATTAGTCAGCTGTTATCCAACCCCTGATTATCCTAGTCAGGCATGCAGGTGGTGGAGGAACACATGTGGACCTTCTGGGTGTGTGTGTGTCTGTGTGTGTGTGGGGTTTCTAATTCCAATCTGAAGGGTTTTCCAACAGCTGTCTGCTAGTTTTTATTGTACCGTTTCCATTTATTTATCGCTGGTGGGTAGCGAGCACCGTGACTGGACACGCTGGCCCCCGTCGCTCGGCTCGTGTGCAGCTGTCGGAGCCGTGTTGGCGAGCGCGGTCGCAGGAAATGCGTGGATGCTGTAGCTGGGGCTTCTCACTGATAACAGGGAATAAGCCCCGCCCCCTCATCTTTGCTGGCCTGCTCGCACCTTTTGCTTTTGCTCCAGTGCTGCAGGATGGCAGATGGCTCCAGCAGAGGTCGCCTCAGACCACGGGCACCGCATGACACCCCCGTCCCCGTCCCCGCCCTCTGTCGCTTCCTGACAGTACCCCAGCCCCGCGCAGTAACGTGTGTGACCGCCTGGCAGGCCGCTATCCGCCGCCTGTGCTTTGACGCCGCGGCCGGCCGTATCATGTGACGCGCAGACTTGCTGCCGCGCCTCCATGCGATACACAGTGAGCTCTCGGGTTGCTCCTTGCAGTCAGACCCGGGCTCAGACGTTATTCTAACTGGGAGGAGAGCTGGCCCGGCCCAGCCCGGCCTGCTGCAGCCCAGCACGTCTGGCCTCCTCCAGGAAAGGCGGCGCTGGCTTTGCTGGGGCCCCCAGTGACCGTTTTTGTGTATCTTATGGCTCCGTGACAGTTCTTTTCCACCTCTTATAAGCTTTCTCTTCCTCTAAATCAGGAAATTCACACATCTTTTTATGCCCTGTCTTTAAGAGTTTTGTTTTTAACACCATACTATAAAACTGTTTTATTATTGCCGTCTTTTAAACAGTACGTGTGATTGCATTTGGTTTGCCATGTCATTGTTTCTCTGTGGTTTTCGGTATTGGGTATGTCTATAAATCATACTTTCAGAGAAAACGACTATTGCACAATGATCTCTGGGGTAGTTCCTGTTGTTAACCATCAGAGGGAACTAACTGGCCCTGCTCCTTCAGCTACTGACCCTCTCCTGCCAAAGAAGCTGACTTTCTTCCCTTTCCCCAATCCAGGCAGCAGTTTTTTCGCCCTCTATGGACCATACTATGTCACTGCAGCCAACGTCCATGATGAACCCCCTGACTCAGCAGATGGGCCAGCTGTCCATTAGCAGCACCGGAACGGTGAGGCGAGGCGAAGCGAAGCTCCCAGTTCAGGGCAGAGCCCATATCTCAACTCGTGTGAAGAAGTGCAGAGTCCTATCAGCATGTGGTGTCATATTGTGAGGCAGCGTTTGATGTGAACGTGCCGTCGTGAAAAATGACACGCTGTTTTCTTTGTCTGCGTCTACAGTTCATGCCAGCCAACACAGCTATTCCGACAGCATTCATTCCACAGTACGCCCACATACAGACTACGGGGGTTCAAGTCGAGGTCTGTCATCTCTCGTATTCAAAGCATCAGATTCGCTTCAGGGTTGACCTTGAAGAGCTCTGGGTTTTATCAAGGAAAGGGGCAAAGCAGAGTTCATAATGAGCCTGAATTTTTATGGTACCACAGAAAGTCATCAGGAGAAGGTTTGAGAACATCTGTGAGGCTCCTACCATGACAGTGGCACCTTTTTCTTTTGTCTTATCTTCAGGAGAACAGCGGGCAGCACGCGGTGGAGTCATCCAGTGATCATTCTCCTTACGCTTATCAGCAAACCAAGTAAACTTCAGGTACAGGCTTGCCCAACTCTGTCACATCGCGACGGCAAGCTGCCGGCGTTGTCTTAAGAGACTGAACGTTGGAGCGAGTAGGTTGTGGGTTCAAATCCCAAAGGGGAGACATGCACTCTCATGGTTTAGCCTGACTGACAGACACCAGAAAGCGAGTAAGAGAACAGCGTATACTCCGCTTTATGTCCCAGAGAAGGCAGTAGTTTGAGATAACAGTAATGTCACGTGTAGGAGAGCTCGCCTGTCCTGATGTCTCGCTCAATCCCTTCTCAGATGTTCGTGGGAGGCCCACAGGAGGAATCTGCCCACACAGCTGACGCGGCCCTCACTTCCGACTTTGGTTCAGCTTTACAAGACATGTCAGCGGTTTGCACAGGTTCTACAGAGAATTTCTTTTTGGTTGTCTGTTTGTTTGTTTATTTTCCATTTGTTTTATAACGGGACTCAATGGAAGCTACTTTGGCAAGAGTTCCAGGAAACGCGAAAACATGCTTAGTTTCATCAAGGGATGCTAATTAAAAAGAAAAAAAGGAAAACAAAAACATTTTTATTTTAATAAAGAAAGAACTTTGTTTTTTACCAACTGCCACATGGACATAAGGACTTCAATCATGGGGGATTGTGTGAAGTTTGGTGCATGACAGCAGAGATGTCTTATTTTTTTATCTTTTATGATTTTTAAAGCTTTTTGGTTTGTTCTGTTTTATACGGAGATCGTTAATTAGCTAGACATGTTAAAATGAGTTGTTTCTTTATGTGGTTGCTGTGTGAGTGTTGCTATGGTGAAGTAAGACTCTGTTACGACCCCCCCCAAGAAGATATCGTCTTTTAGTCCCGGCTAATCCTACTGTTGTTCGATTTGCCTTACGTTTTCTAAACAGCTATGTTTTAAGGCTTACAGAGCAAGGAAAGAACTCTGAAAACAATTGCCTTGTAAATTAGCTAAGTAGGACTTTTTTAAACATTGAGCTGAATCCATTTAATGTTGCTTGCCGTTTTATTTTGTTTTATCCCCTGATGATATCTGCTGAATATTAGAAATAGAAGATTTAGGATACAACAATAGGATAGACATGTTTTGAGTGACGTTTCAGAATCTCATCTTCTTTTGATAGGGTGTATTGTTTGTACAATCAGAAATTTAAACTTGGCTCTTTTTTGAATGTGGTAGAAATTTATGAACTGAATGCTGAATGATGAACTTTTCGATCTTTGTTTTAAAGATGTGTAGTTTTAGGAAAAGGAAAAAAATGTTGCAGTGGGGGTGCTAGGTCAGGGGAGGGGGGGATTATTGTCAGATTGGTGGGATTGTAATTTTATTTGTGTATTTGTTCAGTTAAAATGCAAATAGACAAACCTGGACTTACGATGCAAGAACACTCTAACAGAAAGCCTTTTTTTTAAAACTGTGGCAAAAATTCATTGTAGTTCAGACTTAGGCAAGTCGAGAGGTGGGAAATAGACTTTACTAAACTAGCTCTTTGACAGTAATAAATAAAAAGCATGGCACTTTCCAAAAGTTTACTTCACCAAAGAACTGTGAGCTAGCAAAAGAGGACCCGGCGCGATGCTGTGCTTCGACTTGAAGAACCGACGTTACTGACTCACCCCCCCCCCCCCCCCCGCCCCCCCATCCTCCCTGTTCACCACCCGCCCTTGCCTAGATTGCCATTCGGAGAATGTGCCTTTTTTGTACATTTGTGTTCAGTTTTTTTTTTCCTTCTTCTTCTATCTCGTTAACTTATGGACACAACAGAATGAAGGACGATTTCCTTGAACCAGCGGGGATTGTTGTACTCTCCGATTTCATCACTACAAAAACAAAAAAAATGCAATACGTGTGTTCAGTGCAAAAAAAAAAAAAAAATGGAGGAAGAACAGACAGCTTGACACAAGGAGAAAATGTGTGATGGCAAGCAGGTCATTCTCGGTTTAAAATCACAACATTTCAAAAAAGGCTTTAAATTGAGTTGTCTTCCACCAGACTATGTTGTGCCCTGATCTTTGGTCTGGCTGACCAGTTATCTACCTCAGACTTCTTTTTGCCATTCTTAGTTAGCCCCTTCTCCTTTTGTATTGGGTCGGGTTTGCAGGTCCAGCCCACCCTTGTCCTAGACACACACACACACACACACACACACACCATCCTCTCCCAGACCAAAAGCTGAGCTCAGGAGCTAGCTATATAATCTCTTTTCTACCGCCCCCACCCGCGCCCGGTCCCCCGCCCCCCCCCTCCCCAGAACATGGTTATCGTCGTTCGCGGAGACGTCGCGCTCGCCGCCGCAGTCTGCAGGTCTGCTTTCACAGCCGGAGTGTAGCTCACGGAGCAGAGCGGTCCTGCTTGTCACGAAACAGCTGTCAAGCACCCGAGAGGCGTTTTGCTGCTAGTTGTGTCTGAATCAAGTGCCACACGCCGTCTGGGTCCAGAGTTTGAAGAGGAATTCGGGAAAGGAATGCGCATTTAATCAACCATCTTGTACTAGACAGCCATTAAATTATATTAAAAAAAAGTAATAATTTATGAAGAAAGAACTTTTGTACAGACTGTTTGAAGAAATAAAAAAAAAGATTTTCATAGATGTCTATATGATCAAGAGGATTTTTTTTTTTCGGACTTGCCAGAGGCATCCTGTGTTTCCAGCGACATCACAGACTTTACTCTGTTTTTCTTTCTAGTGTTGGTTACAGCCAAAAAGACATTTTAACTGTAAATTTAATTTTGATTTAAGTTTATTTCTGTTCATTTTGTTGAAATGTTTGAATAAAATCTTGTGTTGGACCTATGACTGACTAAGTTCTGGCTGCATGTAACTTCGGGGGGGGGGGGGGTGGTCACTGCTATGTTTGGCCTTCAAGGGCTCCTGTACTGCATCACCAGGACTGCAAGGCTTGGCCCTGGTCCTGGGCCCTGCAGAACACAGCCTGGTGTAGGCTGTTGTGTTGTGCTGTCCTACAGGGGTGTTGCAGTTTGATCCACGTCGCCTCCCTGTGGGGCTCTCGCATCACTGCACCATCATCAAGGTCAAGACATTCTCACTGGTTTCTTAATCATCACGAGGGCTGTAGACTGTGAAACATTGCTTAAGGCCTTCAAATTTCCCTTTTTGCGGAATTCTTGGTATGTTATGGTGTGTGTTGGGTAACCTGAGAAGGAGGAGGGAAGACCATATGTGTATGCATCATGTAGGCTGTAAGCTGCTACTCGTCCCTCTGGATGGTGTGTGAATGTCAGACTGGCTGTGACCATTTCTAAGTTATTGGTATTTAGTCTGTTTCTGCAGGTCTAATCACTCGGGGCTATAGCCCTATGGGCATTGCTAGGTCTAATCACTCGGGGCTATAGCCCTATGATCATTGTTAGGTCTAATCACTCGGGGCTATAGCCCTATGGGCATTGTTAGGTCTAATCACTCGGGGCTATAGCCCTATGGGCATTGTTAGGTCTAATCACTTGGGGCTATAGCCCTATGGGCATTGTTAGGTCTAATCACTCAGGGCTATATCCCTGGGTGTGTTACCACCGTCTTCCTTAAAAAAATACAAAATGTCAAGCCTGGGGTAAACTTGATGTAGAAACACCCCTTCTGCTAGGGCTTCTGTCACCTCAGGGGTCAGACTTGGATCTTGTGACTTCAAAAACCCTCACAAAAGTATAGTTCTTCTGAATTCAGTGTGAATCAGAATTTGCTTCATTCACCAAATACTATGCCATGGTGCAGTCAAAGGTTGCTCTCCTGTTAAAATGATTTCTGGTGTAAAGAAATAAATCTGAAATTGTGCTTTATTTGCCTTTTGCCCAAGTGGAGGTACTTTCCAGTTCTTTGGTTTTTGCAAACACACACATATAGAGTTGAGACTGAGGTCTGAGCGCTGGTTCGGCCTTTCAGGCTTTAGGAGTTGTGCTCAAGGGCCCAACAGACATGTTTCTGTTGTGCTGAGTACGGGACCGTCCAATCACAGGCATAGAGGCCTAACTCAATGAGCCACCCCCCAGGAGGTAAATAGAGCATGTCTGTCCAACACTGAAGAAATGTGGATTCAGAATATGCCTCTCCAAAGCCTATCAAAAGTGATGTAAGGCTGATTTATCCATCCCCAAAGCCTATCAAAAGTGATGTGTTAAGGCTGATTTATGGCTCACCAAAGCCTATCAAAAGTGATGTGTTATGGCTGGTTTATTCCTCTGCAAGGCCTATCAAAAGTGATGTGTTAAGACTGATTTATTCCTCTCCAAGGCCTATCAAAAGTGATGTGTTAAGGCTGATTTATGCTTCTCCAAGGCCTATCAAAAGTGATGTGTCAAGGTTAATTTATTCCTCCCCAAAGCCTATCAAAAGTGATGTATAAAGGATGATTTATGCCTCACCAAAGCCTATCAAAAGTGATGTGTTAAGGCTGATTTATGCATCTCCAAAGACTATCAAAAGTGATGTGTTAAGGCTGATTTATGCTTGTACGTTGAACCTATGCAGACTTTATGCCGTGGCCTCTGCTTCTGCTGATACTGAGATGCTGAGGATCCATCCATTTGGTTCTGTAGCTCCTGTAGGATGGAATGAAATATCTCTTCTGGAATGATGTCCTCTCTGGACACTGAGACATATCAGACAGTGAGTGTTGTGTCCTGAGGAACGTTAGTCATACTAACACTTTATATAAAGCATCACCATTTCGTTATATTATACAAATGTTTGTCACAGTTAAATTACAGATTTTTCCCCTCAAGGATTCTCTTCATCGCAATGAATGTTACATATATACTACGAATAAACTGCGTTCCTGTAAATTTAATGTAGTATGTGCAAAAACAAGTCAAAAAAAGTTTTAAACATTGCTGTTAACGGTCTTTTTTCCATTGTGGGTCTAGTTTATGACGATCTGCATAAACAACTCAGTGTAAACTCTTTAATCGATGCCGCATGAGACTGAATCACATCTGATTCTGGCATGCCGGTCTGACTTTACTGTGTAGCCGAAGCGCCACCTCTTGGAAAGTCTCCGTCATTTTTTGTAGTTATCTGCAAATGTCGCTGCTCGTTGTGAACGCAAGTTCAATAACTAATATTATATGAATAAATAGATTCCGGTTAATTGACCAAATAAAAATGATGCATTAGATGTGGTATGGTATGATACCCTTCACGGATTTTGAAGAATAATTTCGGATTTAAACTAACAGACGTTTTTATTTGGATATAACTGAATGTTTTCGCCAGCTAACGAAACCAAATGTTCGCCGTCTAGTTATCTGGAAATTGTGCCCACGCCCACTTATAAACACTTGGAATCTTCCCACAGCCCAAGTTCGCTGAAAGTCGGCCTAAGTCTCCCCACATGTCCGGTCTCGTTAGATGATAGTCATGCTGTGTAATGCGCAACTGTTTCAAATGCCGGTGAAATTTTCTTAGCCGAAAATAAGACGGGATCAATTTTCTGCATGATATTATTGTGCAATAATGAGTTTCTGAATGCGAGCGATTAATGGGGGTTTATTTTTTTTTTCTGATATTCCG